CAGAAAATAAGAAAACAGAGTTTATACAGTAAAACAGCACCAAAAGAAAGGTGTATAGAGAATGTTGAGAGTGAGTGGGTTGCAGTTTTAGATACCAATAATGCCAGGCTGGGCCTCACTGAGAAGACAGAGTGTAAAGGCCTCAAGTGGTGAGGGAGTGAGCCTTTTGTACACCTGAAGGGAGGCCTTCGAGGCAGAAGGAGCTGCGACTGCAAAGACATGGCTGAGGACATGTCCCTGGCAGTGTGAAGCCGTAGCAATGCTGGAAGCCACATGGCTATACACTCAGGAGTCCAGCACCACATGCAGTGTGAAGGCGTAGCAAGGAGAACAGAATGGCTGAAATTAAGTGAATGCATGAGGAATGTAGAAAGATAAAGTCAGAGGTTTAATGAGGTGAGCCACAAAGGGGAGAGAGGTGACCAAGTACTTGTAAGTCATTTTAAGTTTGACTTAGCTCACTGAATCCATAAACATATGTGTATGTATCATAAGTAACAGCCAATTATGACTTATCACAGGAACATGGCGATTGTTAAAATGAGAAAATAGGACCAGCCTTGTAGGGCAGTGGTTAAGCCCTGTACCGAGGACCAGACCACATACGGTCAAATGCAGCTCAAATCTTGACCCTGCCCTCAACATGCAAGTGGGCATGCAATTTGCTAGGATCTCCATGTGGGTGGGGGGAATGGGGAACAGAGGCTCCCACCATGACCAGGCACCAACAGTGGGTGCCTTATTTTTCCCTCTCTCCCTTTCTCTGGTGTGCGCCCTCTGACAAAAATAAATAAATAAAATAAAGTACATTGACTTAACTTACGATATTAATGCACTAAAAGAGGAAAAATTAGCTTATTACCTCATTTGATCCAGCAAAAGCAATTGATGGAACTCTGTACTTAGTTGAAACTTTAAGAAATTAAATGTTTTTAGCAAACTAGTATTAGGAGGAGACCTCATTCACATCACAGAGATAATATATCAAACATTTATAGCACATACCACTCCTAGGAGAAGACTTTAAATAGATTCTTTTTAAGATTAGGCATGAGATCAGTTTGCCTGTTCATTATTAATGCTTAACATGATCCTGGAAGTTCTGGCAAACACTGGAATTGAAAGAAAAGGAGGAAGAGTGGTAAAATTTAAGGTGGAAGAAATAAAATTGTCATTATTTACAGAATTATTATTAGTCTTGAAACATAAAAACAAACAAACAAAAAACAGGAACTCAAGCATTATTAAACCTAGTAAGAAAGTTTGATAAAATCATGGACAAGATTTTAAAAAATTAATTACATGATACTTATTTAGAGAACATTATAAATATATATTAAAGAATATAAAATACAATTAGAGTCACTTGGGAGCCAGTCACTACCATTGGATAAAACAATTTAATATTATAAGAACACTGATTATGCTTTAGCCTATACATTTAGTGCAATACAACCAAACATTCACTTTTTTTTTTTTTTAAGAGAAAGACATTTTTGCTAAGGGTGTGTACACTTGCCAAGGGACAGAAAAAAAGTAGAGAGCCAGAAAGCAAAAAATAACCCTCCTATGGTGGATGGCCAGGCAGCAGTCCCTTCTCCTCCATTCTCCTCTCAGGATCTTGGGCACGCATGCACACATGCCCAGCATGAGTTTTAAGCTACTGGGTCTGGGACGTGAACTGTGTCGACAATGTGGGAGTCCAGTGATGTAGCCATTACACCATGCTAGTCCCAACATTTACTTTTTAAAAGAACTTAATGAATTTACTCTAAAATTTGCATGACCTAATTAAATATTCATCAATCACTAAGTTAATCATAACTAAGAACAAAGGACAGAGAAAAGAGGAGTGATTTTTCTCTACTGGATTTTAAGATATACCAGAAGCATTATGTGTTTTTTTCAAGGATTTATTTTATTTACTTTTATTTATTATTATTGTTATTTTTAAATTTGACCAGAGACAGGCAGACAGAGAGATAAAGTGAGAAAGCAAGTTGCCAGGTCTGGGACTCAAACAGTGGTCAGCCACTCAAGAGTCCAGCACCTTAAACACCATGCCATCTGCCGGCCCCAGAAACATTGTTTTAAATACATTGTGTTACTAGTGGGTAAAATGTCCAATGGAAAAAAAAAATAAGAAAGTAAAAGGCAGCCACATGTAGATATGGAAATTTAATATACAATAAAGATGACATCACCGAGTTAATGAGGAAATTATAGAATAATTGGTAAAACTTTCTCATAATCAAGAGAACATGAAAAAAAAAAAGAGAGAACATGACACTTTTCTCTATGTATCACTATATATGAAAAGTAAATCCCAGGTGGATTAAAGATCTAAATGTTAAAAACAAATCTACAAGGGCCAGCAAGTGGCATGGTAGTTAAAGGTACTGGACTCCCACATGGCCGACCATGGTTCAAGTCTCAGATCTGGTGGCTTGCTTTCTCACTTCCTCTCTATCTGTCTGTCTCTCTCTGATCAAACTGGAAAATAATAATGATAATAATAGTAAATAAAGTTAAATAAAATAATTCTTAAAAAAACAAATCTACAAATTTTATAAAATAATATATAGAAAAATATTACTGTGAATGATAGTCATTTTTAAGCATAACTTAGTATGTACCAACTATATGGTAAAAAAAATTGACAAGTGTGATTTATATCAAAATTAAGAATTTATTCTGCTTCCTTATGTTTTTTAATTTATCTGCATAATGGCTATATATATTTATGAAGTACAATATGATGTTTTGATAAATGTATACATTAAGTAATGATCAAGTTACGGTAATTGGTTGATAGCTATGACCTTAAATTATTTATTTGTTGTGAGAACGTTCAGCTCCTTTGTTCTGGATATTTGTAATATGCATTGTATTACTGTTATCTATAATCACCCTTCTGAGCACTAGAATAGCATAACTGTTCCTCCTGTCTAACTATAACATTGCATCTGTTGAACCCTCTCATATCCCTCTTGCCTCTTATTTATTCTCCCCAGTCTCTGATAACTTCTGTTCTAATCTCAACCTCTATCAGATCCATTTTTTGTTTTTAGGTTCTATATATGAGTGCAGTACATGTCTTTTTGTGTCTGTCATATTTCACTTAACATAAAGTCTTCCAGGTTCATTTCCTGTATTGCAAAAGACAGAATTTCATCCTTCTTCTCTCTCTCTCTTTTTTGTCTGAATAGTAGCCTATTGTGTGTATATGCCACATTTTTTCCGTTCTTCTGTTGATGGGCATTTAGAAGGATTCCATATCTTGCCTATTGTGAATAGTGCTGCAATCAATATGGGACTGCAGCTGTCACTTCAGCATGAGGATCACATTCTTGGATATGTACTTGGAGGTGGGCTGGCATTGCTGGATCATATTGTGGATCTACCATTATTAATTTTTTGAAGAACTTTCATCCTGACTTCTGTAGTGGCTATGCTAATTTATGTTCCCACTAACAATTTATAAGTGTTCCTCTTTTCCCTCACCATCATTTATTATTATTATTATTATTATGATGATGATGATGATGATGATGTTAATGGCTATTGTAACTGGAATGAGAGGATATTTCATTAGGGTTTTGATTAGCATTTCCCTGATGCTTAGTGGTACTGAAATTTTTTTGTATGCCTTTTGTCTTTTTGTATGTCTTCTATGAAGAAATATTGACTTAAATCTTGTGTTATATATATATATATATATATATATATATATATGTATATATATAAAAGACAGGGTATCATCCTGTAATGATCTCCCTGTCTCAGTCTTTAAGCTTGGATTATATGCATGTGTAACCACATCAGGTCATATTTAGACAGATCCTTGCTTTGCCCCGGACAGCCTTGAGCTCACAATCTTCCTATCTTCACCTTCCCAAATCATTGGTATTTCAGCTGTATAACACTGTGACCAGCTTTTAAGGTGAACTGGGAATTAAACCCATTTGTGCCCATTTTTAAATCAGGTTATTTATTTACTTATTGTTAGAAGAAATAGAAAATCTAAAAAGGTCAAAAATTAGTAATGTAATTAAAGAAGTATTAAAAAGTTCTCCATCAAAGGGACCAGCAGTTGGCATAATGACGAGGTTGCTGGACTCCCATGTAGTCGACTGCAGTTCGAGTCCCAGACCAAATGGCTTAAACTCATACCAGGTGCGTGTGCATGAGTGCCCAAGATCCCAAGAGGAGAATGGAGGAGAAGGGATTGCAGCGTGGCCATCCTCCCTGGGGGGTGATTTCTCACTTTCTGTCTCTTTGTCTCTATCTTTCTGGCAAGCACACGCATCCTACAGCAAAACCCTCAAAAAAAAAAAAAAATCCTCCATCAAAGAAAATCCCAAGACCTTATGACTTTACTGCTGAATTCTATAAAATATTTAAAGAAAAACTAATAGCAATTTTTCACAAGCTATTCTAAAAAATTGGGCAGGAGGGGACTTTGCCAAACTTGTTCTACAAGGTTAGCATTACCCTGATAGCAAAACCCAATAAGGACACAACAATGATATCAAATATTACTGAGGAACATAGATTGAAAAATTCTAAACAAAATACTAGCAATCAGAATTGAAAAACACATTAAAAAAATCACTCACCAAGATCAAATGGGTGTCATACCAGGGATGCAAGATGATTTAACATATACAAATCAATAAATGTGAAGGGACATTTTGAGATTTAGTCTCTATCAACCTGTAGTCTTGAATGACAACCATGAGTGCATCTTCTATGTTGAGACTTGAGTTGAATCACCAGCATGAGTGAAAAATAAAATTTTATTGCATTAAGCCACAGAAATTGTGAAGTCAGTTGTTTTTCCATCCTGGGTGGACTATTATAAATAATATGGCATCTTAAGGAAATTCTTAAGACATTTAAGAAATTTCTCGTATATGTAAACACTGTGGACTAAATATCTGTGTTCTCCCAAATTCATATCTTAAAGCCTTAACTTTCTGTGTTTCTCTATTTGATAGAGACAGGGCCATCAGGAGTTAAGAAAATTCTCTTCCTTCTTCCATGCATTACCAGAAGAAAGACATGCAAGCACATGGCTAAAAGGTGGAGATATCTACAGGCTAGGAAGAGACGGCTCATCAGGAACCAAATTAAATGGCATTTTGATCAAGGACTTCTAGCCTCCAGAACTGTAAGAAAATAAACCATTGTTTAAGTCACACAACCTGTAGTGTTTTGTAGTAGCAGACTAAGTTAATACAGCAAGTAAGAGGATAGTCATAATATTTTTTTAGAGGTATTAGAGTTAGGAGGGAGAGAAAGAAATCAGAGCCTTTGTGGTGGACTGAGTTAGATGCCTCCCTCAATTTGTACACATTATGGAAGTTCTAACCCCTAGAACCTTATAATGTGATCGTATTTGGAGACAGTCTTGAAAGAGGCCACTAACACTAGATGGGGTCTAAGAGTGGATGCCTAACCCAGTAGCGCAGGTTTCCCTATAAAGAGAAGTACCAGGGAGCTTTTTCTTTGCCTACAAGCATCAGAAAAAGGCCATGTGAGCCCGTAGTAGGGGAGAGCCTTCACTAGTCAGCAACTTTGCAGGCACTTTCATGTTTCCAGAACCACGAGAAAATAAATTTCTGTTGTTTAGGTTACATGGTCTGTGGTATTTGGTTATTGAAGCCTGAGTAGACAAATACAACTCCCATCCTTGGGAGAATGGGCAGATAAAATGTGATGGATACAAACTCCCGAATACTAAACAGCAAAAACAATGGATGCCGGATAGGCCTAATATCACAAACAGCCATGATCAAAGAAGAGTTAAGTGCAAAAAAGGAGAAATAAAATGAGATCTATAACAGGACACCATTTATATCATTCAAAAATATAATAACGTAAGACCATCAATATGCAGTTTGGAAGAACACATACACCAGGAAGAGAGACACATGAAGATTCAGAATAACTGCTGGAGACAGAGAAGAGGAACAGAGTAAGACCAGATTATGAGGACTGAAGAAAATTATTTTTAACTGAAAACAGTAAAATGGCCTTACAGGGACTAATCATAACATAGTAGTTAAAACAGGATAATGAGTAACACAGATGTTTGCCTGAGATTTGAAAAGGAGGAAAATGGGCTAAGCCACATTTTACAGGGTTATCCAGAAAAACGTAATGAAAGGATCTTCTTCGCATCAGATGATTCCTTGGCTAACGTGAAATTAATAAAAGTAGAAGAATAAAAGTTCAGTAGACAGGAAAATACATTTTTGTAAAATAATAAGAAAAACCCTTATGGCAAACACACACACACATGCACACACACTCACACAAACACACATACACATGTATATCTTCCTCATAAATATACACACACACACACACACACATACAGACACACACATACACACACACACACACACACACCACTCTTAAAATTTAAGAGTATTTATGTTTTCATTATACATCTTCCTCATAGCACTTTGTGCTTCTTTTGTAGAATCACCTGGGAATACAATTTTTTTGTAAATATATACACTTTTTTAAAAAAGAATTATTTTACTTAACTTTATTTATTTTAATTTGACCAGGGAGGGAGGGAGGGAGGGAGAGAGAGAGAGAGAGAGAGAGAGTGAGTAAGTGAGAAAGCAAGCTGCCAGCTCTGGGACTTAAACCATGGTCAGCCATGTGGGAGTCCAGTGCCTTTCACCACCTGCTGCCCCCAATATATACATTTTTAAAAACTGCACTTTTAACTATGAACTCCATGGTTAGATTGCTGCTCAGGACTATTCACTTCTGCTGCTCTCCCATCCTCAACTCCATCATTTCCATGAGAAGAACGTTCTTCCCCAACCCTTCCCTTAGGACTCAGCCATTTAACTTGCTTCATCCAATAAGATGCTTGCAAATAGGACACAATGGCAAGCTTAGAACATGCTTAGAAAGGCTTGTTTTCTCACACTGCCACGTTTGTCATGAGAGGAGGTTCCCCTTTGTTATCGCTGACCCTCAACCTGGGCCTGCAGGTGAATAGACATGGAACAAACTGGCAACTCTCAGTAAGAAGCTAAGCCCAGTTACATCCTTAGCTTGAAATAGAAAGTACAGACGAGTATTGCAAATCAGTGAAAAGCCCAATAACTAGCAGATGTTTGAAAAATAATTAGTGTTGCTTTAGGTCATTAAATTTGGGGTTGATGTATTACACGGCATTAACTAACTGATACAGATATGGATATTAATTGGCCCACTAATAATGAAAATATATTCCCTATAAAGTGAATTCAAGTCTCTTTCTTGGGAGTATGAATTTCAGAAGTAGATGACCTCCCCGAAAGAAAACTCAAAGTACTTGCACATATTCTGGGAGAAATAATCTCTCAGATTTAACCAGTTTCTGACATCGTAAAATAACTTCAAAATTATCTGGAAGGAAAATTTTTATAACTACACCTTCCCAATCATTAACACACACACATGCATGTACACACACACACACACACACACACACACACCCCTATCTATATTATTTTATATACTTTCATAGCATCAGGTAGCTTTTTCTTTTGTACACTTAATGGTTTGTGATTAGTTAAATCATGACTTTTCCTCTTTCCTTTTTGTAATTCAAAAGCCTAACACAATACAATGGTTTACAGCAGATGCTCAATGAATAGATGCTGACTAGACAAACTGACTTTGGGGAATAACTTACTACTATTGCTCACAGGCTCTCTGAGATTTCTCCTAAACCTGAAAAAATATACATCCCCCATGAGTCCTCCCTAGAAATCTTATAAACATCAGTGTTATCTGACACACACCAATCTATAGGTTAAATTACATAATGATATATCAATGAAGAGAAAGGAAGCCAAGGCCTACACCACAGTTCTCTCACTTAGGAGCTGCATGACCTTGAAAAAATAATCACAATACCACTCTTAATCTGACTTCTCATCTATAAATTATAAATGGTAAAAAATTTAAATAAGATGTTTAAATGAACATCTAATGGTTTTGTCTGCTCCAAACACTATTTCTTTTAAGAATGGCATTCATCTTCTTTGGGAAGCTTCTATTACCTTTGCTAGAACCATTTGATTTTCTTAAAAAATATCTAGTTTTCTTTTTTCACAAGTCTTTTTTATTTAATTGCCACATAGCACATGCCATGGCCCGAAAGAGAGAAAGACATAGAGAGAGAAAGCATGTCACACACCAGTGAGACAAGGTCATGATGCAATTCCTCCTCTTCCATTTCTTCATCTCACCAGGATTTGGGACACACACACAGACACACACACCTAACATGTTTTTCAAGTTGACTTGGTAAGGAGTCAAACTATGGTCAGCCATATGGAATCTGGCTCACTAAACCACTGTGCTATGGGGCTGGCCTGAAATACCAGATTTGAATTACTCTCCTTATCACCATTCCTCACCCCAACAATACCAAAGCACTTTCCTTGGGGTTTTTCTTTCAATTTGCAGTTGGAGATCCATAAGTTGTCACAGTTCTAAGTGGTCTAAAGGCATATTAGACTGTGAAAAAAAAAAAAAGAAAATGAGAGGCAGAGAGAAAGTCTTTCTGGCATTTTAAAAAATTCTTTACCCTTAGTTTTTAAGAACAGAATGTTCAACTTGGAGGGCCCAAGATGGATCTCAGCCACCAGAAGTTGCTTTGAAAGAACACATACATCTATTCTTTGAAAAATTGCTTTAAAAAAGAATTGGGTCTTTTGTCTTTGATGATGGAATCAGAGAAAATATGAAAACACTTTGGAAACTAAACTATCTTGCACTTGTAAAGGATAACTATTTTTGATTTACCTACTGACTACAGTAAATTCCTGAAATGTAGTTTTATTCTAGTGCTATTAAACTGCCCTCTATAATTGATAAGGTAGTCTATGGTATAAACTACGCGGATATAATTAAGATAAAAAATATCTCTCTAAACCCAAGTTAGATGGAAGGAAGGAAGAGAAGACGCTGACAAGATCAGACTATGTGAGACATAATCTCACTGAAGTTGCCTACAGAGGAAACACCCAAAATTCTGCAGTACACTGGCCCTGTCTTGGATTTAGGCTGGTAGCTCCAGACATCTTTAGAAGAGACACTTTAAAATCATGGCTATCAGGGCCAGCAGGTGGCATGGTGGTTAAGGGTACTGGACTCCCACATGGTCGACCGCGGTTTGAGTCCCAGACCTGGCAACTTGCTTTCTCACTTTCCCTCTCTCTCTCACTCTGTCCCTCTCTGGTCAAATTAAAAATAAGTAAATAAGTTAAATTAACATAATTTTTTAAAATAATGGCTATCACATTTCATTCTTTTCTAAATTCTTAACTAGCCTTCTACTAGGGGGGATTTTATATATCTTCTTGAGTCACTAGAATGTTTCTAGGGCACAGTGTATGCAGTTCTGGAAATTGGCTTTTCTTGGTACAAATATAATACTAAAGAAATATATTATCTTTGGTCTCAACTCAAAGACATCCTTAAGGTCTGTCAGGAAGTCTATCCTAAAAGTTCAGATATACCAGTGTTTCTTTCTGTTGATTGAACCTTTCAATTTAGAATACTTTTGGTATACTTTTCCATTCTTACAGTAAAATAGCTAATATATGCTACAGTAATGATATGAAGTTCTTTCCTGCTATTCAGCTTCTATGCTACTCATTGCCAACAATAATTACGTTTCACAATTTCTTCCCCAGAATCTCCAATCTCAGTAAAAACATTCATCATCTAACATTTAATAAGTAGATAGCACCTAATTAATTTTAGTATCTTGAGTGCTTTGGAAGAAAAGCAACTTATTAGTCAGAATTTCTAAATTTTTACTAAGCCTGCTATGCCCCGTGAGTGTAAACGTTTTAACATTTTAGTTCAGAAAGCTGAGAGAATTGGAGTTTCTTGACATACCACCAGATAACAAGTTAGTAGAGCTGAGTGCAAATGCAAGGATTCTAATTTTCTGTCCATTGCTTCCACTGCAGAACCTCATAGAATTCCTTTTAATGGTGAACTTAGCAGCACAGGGCAACCCCTAGGAGTGTTACATGACCGAATACTTGATGCAATCTATTTTTTTTTTTTAGAGAACTTTTTTTTATTCAATCAATATATAATCACGGACAGAAATGAAAACAATACTGACAAATCAATAAT